ATGTCCACAGATATATGTAAGTGAAGAATAATATTTGAAGTAAATATTTTGTCCACAACAATTCGTGAGCTACATTTTCTTTAACTATTTATTGTTTAGGTTCCAGCTTCAATCGCCTGGAGTTATTATCACACACAGGTTAAGAACTGATGTTTAAAATGTGCCTTTGTAATAAACAATTACGTAAAAGAATCAATTCATACGGTTTGTTGTGTCCACAGTTTAAGTTCTATGTGTGATACGTTTTGCCTCAAGAATGCAGTCAAAAGACCTTTCAGCACCTTGTTGGCATGTGGCTACTGACCAAGACTCAGCTGGACTTTATTCAGTTACACAAGTGGGTGGAGCTTCTACTTTATTTATGATGAATTTGAAGGTTTTAATAGGGGGAACTTTTATTATTACAATTACTTTAGCCAAAAGACAGCAATGGAGAAGCAAATAAGTGAAGTGAAAAGCAGTTAGTAAGTCAAGTTAAAGAAATCTGGCTGTAACTTTTGTAATAGTTTTGTTCCCAGAACCGTTGAGCTGGAAAAAAAAGTTAATTAAACACCACCAAGAATGTGGGATCTCAGTACCTGGCAACTTTTAAAAAAAATACGGCTTGGCGCAGGATTTGTTCCACTTTGCTAATAAGTCTACTGGCAGGTCCCGGGGGACAGATGACGTCTGCAGAGGAGGACATGAGACATGGTCCCGTTTACCTCAGAGACGGTAATGAGCCTTCCAAGCCGTGACATGACGACTGTGTTATAACCTGTCAGCCGTCTCTGGAGGCCCCGCAGCGCGAGGTGAGCCTGCCCCCCCCCCCCCCCCGCCGTCCTGCCGGTCAGCGCAAAAACAAGCTGTTGCACAGTGTGTGTGTGTGACTGCTATTTGTTGTCTGCTTGCCCCTCGGTGTGTGATAGACGAGCCTGACGAGACTTTGCACAGACACACACACACACACACACACGCGTGGAAGCATCCCCCGAGGATAGAAGTTTGATTGTGAGGCATGGGGGACATCTATTACAAAGACCTGTGGTTCAGAAACCCCTGGAGCTATCTGCTGCAGCTGCTGCTGCTCACACACTGAGAGACAAACTGCACACTCACACACTCACACGCACAATAAAAAACACCACCTACAGAAACAAAATTGCAAACATCTTTGTACTTGACGGGTCCGATGGAAAAAAGCGGTTTGTCGTATTCTCCTGCATGAAGAACGAATATGAGACGCCGCCGACTGAGCTTTGCACACGACAGACACGCCGTGTGCGTCTAATGAGCCTCACACCCCATCAGTCTGCCGCTGCTAATTGGACCCGCTAAGCAACTAGCGCTCCTGCAGCATCCCTCTCGCCACGAGGAGGAACGGCGGGCCGAGCAGAACAAAGGAAGACGGAGCAGGAGGTTGATGGAAAGCAGGGAGGACTTGTACACAGCCACGGGCAGGTGGAGGGGACGGTGATCAGAGACCAACTAACTCATCAAACATCATCCGGCAGGAGACTCGCGCAGCCCGTCCACACGACCTCTTACTGTCAGTGATTATCACATTTCCCCAGGAGCCAAGCAGCGTCCCCGAGGATCGTCCGACTAGGAGGAGCACGTTGTGCACACTGCCAGTAGATTCTGGTCTCATGTCCCGCCCCCCCCCCCGTCTCTGACTCTCGCCTCACGCTCGCTCCCAGAGCAACGAAATACTGAAATCTCACCGCGTCAAGAGGGAATCTGTGTCGATTGAACACAATATTAGTGTCATCGCGCAACGCGTATCCAAGCTTCTCTCGGCAGACAAAAAAAAGCCCAATTAAAGTGTGCATAATTGTCCCCTCATTTCCCCGTCTCCTGAGCACCAAGCCGCTTGAAGATGATGGACGCGAGCGATTTCGTTAACACGGCAACCATGCAAATGGCTTTCGGTGTCTCTCCCTCGGCGGCCTTCCCCCCCGCGTCACGCTGGATCGCAGCCCCCTGTGGAAGAGACACGTCCGTCTCCCGTGATGGACAGGCTGGTTTGAATGAGTGTCCCCAGAACGCTGCAGAGCAGAAGAGCTCAGGTGGGGAGCCCAACGCCTGTCACTTAGTGGAGGTTTTGTTTCCCTTTCTAGGTTACCGGTGTGAGTAAATACCGTACGAAACGGCAGCACTCCAGAGAGGGCAGAGTTGCATTTCCCACGATGCACCTCAGCAGCCGACGGTTGCGTCGGAGAGACGCTGGCGGCTGCTAGCTACGAGCCGAGAGCCCGGAGGGGAGATGACGAGCTCACGTCTTTCAAACGCTACACAACTTATTCATTTTTCACAAGCGTGCAGCTTCTTTTTGCCTAAAGTGACAACTGATGATCTCCGATGTGATATTGAGGGATTCCTCTCTGATCTCGCACAAAGGGCTTATTCCACATGTATGGTGCGCTCCACGTGACTCGACTCTTATTGATGTCTTGTGTAACTTCTCGTATAACTGTCAGGCCCTTAAACCAAAAAGCGCTTATGAAGACAGCAGAGCTTGTGTCAGACTTTTTCCTCGTTTGGAGAGAACGAGTTGCTGGAAAAAAGCAGTAAGAGAAAGTAAACAGGTCAATAACAGGACAGTAGGTATTCCATCTGACCTGTCAGTCAATGAGGAACTCGTTCATATTATTTATAATGACGGAACGGAGAAACATTCTTGAATGTTCACGGAGAACTTCTGCATGATAATGTGCAGCCATTAAACGTGCAGATCTTAAACACAACGAGGGATATTATCTTCCCGTTGGCGCATCATCTCCATGGCTACAAACGGTGTTGCTGAGGATAAAGAGCCAACGCGGTTGCCGTTGCACACGATCAAACAACAATCCCACTGATAAAGGAATAAACCTCTGAATGTCCCATATCCAAATCTCATACACGGCTTATATGTGGCAGAAGAGTACATCTTGTGTGTGTACAGCATTTATACACTTTTCTTTCCTTGCTTTTTACTATCAAGTAATCGATATTTCCTCTTGAACGCCACCCGCCTGATAACAACGCTTAAGTATCAAAATAATTTCCATTATTTTTTTCCACTTGATGACTGAGTGATGTTCTGAGTAGAGGTGATGTGACAAAAGCGATCTCCTCCTCGTCCTTGCTGGTCTTTGGCCCCCAGTGGACCACCTGCACGAGTAGCGCCGTGCCAGAGAGTGTGTGTGCGTCTCTTTCATTAATTAAGCGTGAGATTGGTTATTTCAGAGATGTCGAGGGAGTCGCTCTTCTCACCTCTGTAGAGAAACAGCTAGTGCCGGCGAAGTTTACCTAAAATAGAGGCGTGAGGAGGACACAGCGATTTCGGCTCACAAGAAAAACAGCGCACACTTGCATCCGGCTCTTTGTCAGATTCCAATAGCCCCTTTTCAGCGCTGCAGTACATCACTAATGATCGCTGAACTCCCTGAACTCCCCAGCACTACCCTGAGGGGCACAGGTACAGGTCGTCTCCTATTTGACGTCCGACTGGGGAACTGTAAAATAAAAGGCCTTGGCAGATGAAACCCAGTGACACGGCGGCGTGAATCAAAGCAGACCCTGTTACAGGAGCATGCAAAAGAATGAACACGGCCCTCAGGAGTACAAAAGTAAAGTCAGAAGTTGGGGAGAGGAAAAAAATTGTTCAATTGTAAGTTACCAAAGCGCGAGTTCACCTGGCGTCTAACCGCCTCATCCTGGGCATCGACAAAAAAAGCTGCAGCCTCGTTGTACTTTGTCAAAGAAAATGCTTTGTATAAAAGCTCCTTCACAGCACGCATCACCTTATTGACTTCCTTTGATATTTATAGCCCGTGACACAAAATACCATTTTCCCAGCAATGACATGTTTTTTCTAAAGTGAGAGTACCTTGATGGTGCTGCAGACGGCTGTGTGCCTCTCAGCTCCGCCATCGTTGTCCCAGACTGCTGTTCTACAGCATATGAACGTTCGAACATTCTTTGTCCTGGCCCTCCCAATCAAAGAGTTTTTATTTAGTATTTACAACAGCCTGGACTCTGGCCTCAGCCAGGCTTGGGCTGATGGAGACATACGTGTATCTGCACTGACATGAGGGGCAGTGCATGAGTTGAGGCGATAACAGTGGGGCCCTTGTGTGGTCTGTGCACCAACTAAGTTCTTGCCCGAGCATGTCTCACCCACTGAGGGAGAGTTATTGCTTTAATATGAACAACAAATGGTTCAATTCGTCCTCTGGGTGTCAAAGGACTGCCCGCCGTCATTACTTTCTTGGCACGGCTGTGACATTCATTGGCTTGGAGTCGGGACGTATTGAGGAAGGACTCTGTTGGGATGGATCGGGGGTGAATGGCAGATACGGAGGGACAAAGACAGACAAAGAGAGACATGTAGAGAAAGGGACCGGTGGCAGGTGCCGCTTTGCACACCTCAGTGAACAGATGAGAATACCGTCTCCTGACCTTGACTGATCCACTCCACCCACACACAGTCACTAAAAGGTCACAAAAACACAATACCAAGTGGAGGAGAGACTAGTGATCAAAACGGATTACCAAGAAAACTAAACATTTGACCCACAGACTTCCATTTGCTCCGCAGTGGGGATCTCCATCTCCCAAGAGGAAAGATGCAGTTGAAGGCCACTCATCCGCTTGGTAAACAATGGATTCATGGGATTAGTTCTTGGAAATGTGCTTGTTTGGTTTTCTTGTCAATAGTTGGATAGATTGTAATATTAATACAACAAAATACCATAGTTATGAAGCTGGAGACTGTTGCTTGTGACGCGGCTACTGTATTGTAGTCTGTGCAAAGCTAAGCTAACCGCTAGCTGCAGCTTCACATCAAACGTACAGATATAAAAGTGGTCCCAATCTTCTCGTCTAAAAGTGTTGAACTATCCCTTTTAGACATATTGAAGATCAAATGTGGCCCATTGTCTTCTATGAATGAAGACCATGAATGTATACGTGTGTAATTAAGCACAAAGCTCAGCGTCGGACCCACGGTTCACGCTGACATGGCCCCACCTCACCTGGATAGTGGGCGGCGAGCGCTGTTTGCGGGTGGTCGTCGTGGAGAGCGTGGTGGTGGTCTCGATGAAGGTGGTGGACATCTCCGGAGGCGCCGACGTGGTGGTGCGCGCCGCTCCCCTGCTGACGGGCACGTCGCCCACCAGCCGCACGCTGCCGTTCACCCTGATGTTGACGTGGCCCTCGGCGGCCATGTTGAGGACCTTGAGGCCGTTGTAGTAGAGGCCGGAGAGCTGGCCCTGGTACGGCCGCTTGCGGTCGTTTCCGCCGATGGAGATAGTGGCCTGGGTGTTGAAGATGGTGAGCTGCCGGCCTGCAGCACGAGGGGGGGGGGGGAGACGATATGTTTGTGACGCAAAAGGCACAGCCAACAAAGTCCTTAAAGAGGAATGACAGTGACAGCGACGGATGGATGATCGGGTAACGCGGGTAATGTTTAAAGGTATGGTGGGAGAAATAACTATGGCATCAACAAGCCCGCCATCCCGTCCATTCTTACAGACGGCAGCGCCTTTCTGTTATCTACAGTAGGATGGCCTGTCCTCCACCCCGGAAGACACTGATACTGCTGGAAACAGACACTATGCGACTGGCAGCAGCTTTATCACAGGAGAGTGGACACATGCAGGTGTGAAAAAGAATATTTGAAAAATGAGCTGGAACAATTTTCGACAAACAGTGGACTCATGCGGCAAAGTGATGAATAAATATGTATACTGGATTTGGCATATTATGATAAAGTACAAGCAACACACACCCACTATGTATCATGGTGGATTTCATTAGGAGAAGGATAAATATCATTGTCAAAACACACTGCTCATGCATAAATTATGAGATGGAAACACATCCAATTTTTTCAATACAGGAATCATAATTAAAAAACGAATTTTTGTAATTTACATACAGAAAGCACCTCCAGCTAGCTATATTTGCAGCACTTGCACCGTAGCAACACGTAGCACATTGGGCGTTGAATGATGGGGAGGACGATGATGTCACAGCAAATGAAGTAGCACGTGTGGAGTCATGCATGCAGCAGCAATGGGACTTTTCAGACCTGACGGATTTAAGCGGTTGTTAAAGGGACTTTATAATCACGTTAAAATGTTTAGGTGCAGTGAACTTTAAATGCGGTTTATAATGGTATTATGTTGAGGAAAGAGGGCGAGGCGTACTGTTCTACCCTCCACACTGTTTTAAACATACACAGGGCGCTGATCTGATCATCTGAGTGATTGAAAAGCACGACTGGATCAGTGCAGCTCGGCAGGTTCGCTGTGGCGCTTCGCCGTCAAAAAGGCTCCAATTAGCTCTCCATCATCCAACAAGTGTGGCTTTTCATCGGGGCTGATGTGTAGAACTACTCAGCAGAGAGAAGCTGCTTGGAGAGTTTTAAGGGGATATTTCCACTGATTAGTTTGTTCTCAAACATCGCAGAGGATTTGAGCCGGGCCTACTGTTGCAGCGTAGAGAACCCCGGCTCCTCATCGGGTCTTTATTCCTAACATCTTGCTGTTGCACTGTTTACAGAAACGCTCCCCAGTCCCTTTAACTGGATACCATGATTCAACGAAATGTTTGAAAAAAAATGACAATGACAAAAAGGGGAAATAAATCCAAATAAAAAGATGGGGAGAACAGAAAGTAAGGAGGGACGCTCGGTTTCGCTGGTTGTTTTGAGGGTTTACGGGGTGCCTATTCATTCTCAAAGGGAACAAGCCGATGAAATGACAAGAAACATTCTGGAAGTTTGATGAAGATTTACCTTTCTCCTGAAGCCAATCTTCTACTGGCCGGGTATATTTGAACGGGATTTTCTTATTGGCCATTTGATAGCGCTCAATGTCGCTGTTGCCTTTAAAGTTTGAGAGTTTAACAAACAGCTTGAAACAGTTGGCAACAGCAACAGACATCACACATTTATACAGTGGTTTAGAATGAGTTTTTATCTTTGTTTAGAAATATTTATAACAGCTTTATGATCATATTTTTTTCAAGTAGCTTTAGTTTAACTGTTTAAATTAATATTTATGTAGCACACTCCACACCAATATTTAACTAAACATATATGGATTAAAAGCACAACATATTAAAATACAAACTGCATAACAGCCTGCAAGAAAGAAAGTAAGAACACAGAAATACATCACAGTCCACGTAACAGGTCTCATAACACGTTCATTATTACAGGATCAGAAGGGGTTGAAAAGGTAGACATACTTTATAGCACTTTTTCTGAAGCAAATTGGGGTTAACTAACAAGCGCTAATTCTCCCACTGGACACCATCCTGCAAGGGCCAATGAAACGCTTGGGAAAGACGTGTGGTCCTGCATCTACTGGGAAGACTCGGGAAGGACAAAGCATATCGCTGACATGGTGGGACGTCTTTTGGGTAATAAAGGAAGAACCCAGCTGCTTCTTTCCACTGTTCCGAGACGAGGTAAACGCGTTGCTGGTATACAGATATTAATTCCTAGTATTATTTCTGCCATGATACGATTTGCTATTGTGGATGCAATACTTCTGGTGAAAATCAAAAAGCCATTCCCTCTGACGGGGCGCCACCAGAGTGCAGCCACTGAGAATCGAGACAAACATTTTAAGGTGCTACAAAAGACGGACGAGCCTGTTTGGCACCATCAAGGCACCACAATGCCGCTCAGTGCCCATGTGGGAAGGTACTTGGAGGAGAAAGGCAGCATTACGGCATCGTTTATAACGCCAGTGAAAGGGCACGGCTTTGCAATTGTGAGGAAAGGCCTTCTGGTGTCTTGTCTGGCTGCTAGAAGTCTCTCAACTGATGTATCTATTGACAACATCATGCACACACACACACACACACACACACACACACACACACACACACACACTCATGGGGATCTTTCCAGCTACGGCATCATATTCTTCCCTATACCCATAAGCCTTCAGGGCATCTGCTTGTTCTGTCTTAGTGTTGTTATTTGCTACCAAGGGGATTTCAGATGGTTCCGACCTGCTGATGTATGCACATATTTCTTTACATTCGGCTGCAAAGGAGCTGGAGGAGCCAGCAGCTGAATCCAGCCCCCCCCCCCCCAACTCCTACGATCCAGAACAGGGTCCGGGTGGCAGCCAAATACACCCCCCCTCTGGACGCACAGGGAGGTATATGATGGTTGCATGTGGAAGCAGAGAACAGAGGGAGAGGTGAGCACCTTTGGGGGGTGGAATGGGCCAAAGTGGGAACATCAGAGGCAGAATACCAACAGGGGATGTAGGGCTGCCTTGCCTTGTGCAAATGGCGCGGCCCCAGCGATCGCTCTTACACTGCTCCGGGTGATTAATGAGGTGACAGACCCCCCCGTAATGAAAACACCACAAGATAATTGTCCAACTAATGAGAAAAATGTCTCCAGTTTGTCAATTTGATATTCACTTTTTAAAAGTGAGCCCAGAACGGACGACCTTACCAAAAAAGAAAAACGTTTATTATTTAAAAAATGTCTCCTGCAAGGTCGTTGGGTTGCTGTTTTTTATGAAAGAAATAATAATTACTATTTTACTAATAGCAGTTTTTTCCAAGCCTCAATGACCATTTTGCAATTTAGGAGCATTACTGTGCTATGCAGAGTATTTCACTATACATGCTAATCAGTAGGGGCGTAACGATTCATTTTCACAACGATTCGAATCACGGATTATGGTTGCCGATTCGATTCATGGGCGATCTGGGTTCATTTAGAACGATTCGATTCGATTTGATTCAGTGACTTAAAATTGATTCTTAAGGAATGTAAGGAAATCATGTTTAAATTAATTATGGATATTATAAACAAGCAAACAATTAATGGCAAATGTATTAACCTTTTATTTGAATCAGGTGCCATTTTCAATGTAAACATTATACAATAATTACACAATGTTTGGATCAATTCACAGAACCCCGGATGTTCAACCACATCGTAGGGTCTCATGTCTTTACAGATAAACTTGTTACTGTGATGTTTGGTGCTGGCGAGGCCTGAGGCGTCTGCAGAGCTGAGTTACCTGCTGCTGCTGCAGCGGTGACGCTGCTAGAGGTCCTGACTGTCGCCGTTGTTTAATCCCACGGCGCCGTAGTAGATGGCCGGAAAGATTCGTCGTGTTTCCGTGTGTTTTTATTTGTCTTCTACATATTCTACAAACAGCGACCGACTTATTTAGAACACCTCCGTGTTTGTAAAAGCCTAAATGTTTCCACGCGCTGGATCGATACGTTGGTTTGTAAATGTCTCGCAGTCGTCTCCTCCACGCTGTGTTTTGTTGCTGTTTAGAGTTTCGCGCGGCTGCCGCTGCGTACTGATGACGTCAGACAGGCAGACTGGATCCAGTAACGTTTAACGTGTCTAAAGTGCTAAAAAACGAACAAACACACATCCATACCGGTTTTGTGCTTAAAGCCAATGTGCAGTTTCCAAGTATCGATACAAATCGATTATGTACCATTTCAATTGATATGTAATCGATATATGTCGTCCGGAATGCCGATTTGCGGAGCACAGATCGATTCAGTTGGATCGCAGGAATATAAATCGATTAATCGATTCAGTGGATGAATCGTTACACCCCTACTAATTACATAATATAATGTAACGTCTTTGATTGGAATTTCATGCCCAAACATGTTAATGCAGACGCCTCAGTCCTGAACCAAAGTAGTATGTGAACGCACTACCATCAAGAAATAATTGACCTATAACTGACTCACCGTACAACGAACATTTCTGGATATTCTCCTACATCTTCTGTAGCAAACAGTATTTCAAAACATGTCACGCATATTTTATAGTTTGGTGGACAGCTGAGCGGCGGAATGCACACTAATCCTACAGTCTTTCGTGATTCGTTGCTGTCTGTGCGTGTAAACAGTCTGCCTGCCGCTCACCATTTATTCCGTCTCAGCCAAAAACAAAAGTCTAAATGTTTCCTGTCGGGTGGCAGCAATTCAGTCACCACAGACACTGGCACGCCGACAGTCATCTGCTGGTCGCTCGCTCCCTTCTTTTCAGTTGGCGTGCCAGTCTAATCTCCCTGGTGCTCCATCACAGGGCCGGTGCTGGGACGGCATGCCGACTGTGACGGGCTCCATGGCGTTCTCTCTGTTTGGGGGGGTGATGCGGCCCCCCGTCCAAAAGGCGTCATTCCACAGCGAGCTGCTGCTGCAGACCCTGGTCACCGGAGGAGTCCGGCACCGCCCCTCCAATCCGCACACCATTTGTATCAGTCGGCCTTCTGTCTATTCTATCCCCCCCCCCACCCCCACCCCTTCATCCAGCTTTCCCTTCTTCTCCACCCATCTGTACGTCTACCCGTCTCTCCTCCGTCAACTCATTCCGCTCGTCTCCTCCGGCGGTCCCCAACCAGCGGTCCTCTTCGTACCGGGCCACAAAGAAAAACGCCGACTACTACCAGTTTTTGAGTAAATGTGTGTCTGACCAACCCAAAGGATGGAACCCAACCCCAGTTCACACGCACGCACGCACTCTTTACCGCGGCCGTGCAGAGCAGTTAGCCCAGTGGGCGTTCATTCGAGGTTGAGCCAAAGTGTGATTCACAACCTCCGCTCGGCGCCGTCTGCTGATTCAAAGACTCAAACATGGTTTTAATTAGAGAAAGACAAACACACACACACACGCCCGCCCACACATAAACACACTGCAGAAGGCCGATGAGACGATGCCGTATGTGATCAGTGTGGTTGTTTGGTGGAAGCGGAGAATGGGACTGGAGCTTATTCTTACTCCGTAACATCCGAGCAAGAAAAGATGATTCTGGTTTATTACAATTTGGTTCCTTTGTAGTTTTAGTTTTCTGTCTGTCAGAACTAGAAGTAAAAGCAATCGCTGAGATCGGAACACAGTAATGTCGTCTGAACGAGAAACCACTCGTCCTGTTTGTTAAGGGGTGTTCACAATATTAGAACGACTTTTCAACATACATTTACACTTGATCCTTATAAAGTGGTCACTGATTGATATAACAGAGGGCGCGACTATGTCTACTCAAAGCCAACCCAACAGGACGAGGATGACTCACTGTGCTATTACTTCATACTGATGGTTCTGCATACAGCAGCATTTGTGACATGCGGGTGGTCTTTAACTGGATCAAACTTTCTCCGGAGACGCACAGCAGGCATTGTGATAATATCTTATGTGACTATGGAGGAATGTTGTCTCGTTCATCATCCGGTATTCTTTTTGTGCCGTCTCGCTGAATTTCCTTTTCTTTTATTTCCAGTTTGATACATTAAAACGGTGTTTAGCTTGATTATCTAAAACACATGAGCACACATACTTTTCCTTCCTTTATAAATAATTCAAACTGGAGATTTGCTTAAAATCTATACTATGGTCTGCGTGCTCGTACGAGAAAACTACAAAAATAAGGCTCAAACTTTGATGAAGTGAGCATTCCTAAACTAAAAGGAAGGTGTTCTATTATTAATTAGCAGCAGGTCATGCTGTCCGTGGGTCAGGCTCCCATTTGAACCAATCCGAACATTGTCCATTGTCCAATTTACACGCCGCCGGGTATTTTGCAAGCAGCTTTGAATGACAAGCAATCCACTAACACATCTGTTCTCGCCGGCCCCCCTCCGCCCCCCCACCACGGGGGGCGAGCATGCCCAGACCTGCTAACTGTTTATTGAACGAGCTGAGAGCCTCGCGGCGGCCGCTGCCTTCGAGTTGGGCGTCAATAGTGCGAGTATTCAGTCAATGAGTCTGCCCCCTAACATGTAATTACTCATGAGATGACAACGCCGCTACAAGGCAGCGGGGGGAAAAAAATCAATCATCCTTGAATTGCTATCACTGAGTGTCCTGCAAATTACCTGAGCAGAAGAGAAAAAGAAATTACCGCGCATTCGATCGCCCGACCCGAGCGGCGTTCCCAGACGGTGGCGGGAGGACAGAAAAGGGAGCGGAACCTCAACGGAGGAGTAAAGTTAAAATAAAGAAAACTACCGTTCAGCCCGGACGCAGACGGCACTATTGGACCGTTTAAAAGGTGGAAGGAGGAACACGAGAGTTCTTGTGTGATGCCACAAGATACAGGGCTGATATCCATCAGGATTCTAAACGCCGGCGTTGTGCGGCCATTTTGATGTTGTGCGCCACATGTTTCTCAGTATTTTCCGGTATCTGCGTGGCTGAAATGCAGTTATGAAACCCGTCTAACTTTATCTGGTCAAAAAAAAAAAAGATAGCGAGCAAAAGACAGCCAGCGGCAAAAAGAAAGAACGAGGCAGAAGAGATTAGCATCACCTGCGCTGGCATTGAACCAAACCAAAACAGCGCGCCAGGTCGGGCCAGGAGAGGAGGCGGCCCCGTCCTCGCTGACGGCAGGCGACTGGCAGCGTGCTGTAGGGCTGCTGAGACGTTTGGGCCGAGAAGGGATCAGCTCCTGTTTGTTTGCTCCTCACCACTGGGTAGCATCAGCGCTTTTGCACGGTTTGCATTCAAAGTAAAATAAAAATACAACTGATTGTGGTGCACGGTTGACACATCTGGTCATATAACACTATTTAAACCTTGATGATTTAACGTCACTGCCACGGGCAGCGTTTTACCTCAGAGATCAATGAAGTCTCACCTCATCTTCCATCGCCTTCTTCCATCAACTTCTCCTGGACTCAAATGCCACTTTGTGGCCCGGTCGCTCCCCTGTGCGTCTGCCCAGTCAGACGGAGTGAAATTGAAAAGGGCTAATAGGTAAGAAGGAAACAAATGGGGGCTCTCTTAAGCGGGTCGCCAATTATATTTAATGGACTCTTAAGTAGAGTAGGAGATGTCAAGTCCCACGGTTGCTCATCTTTGAAGCCGAACGGCACATCTCGGTTTGAAATGGAGGCAGCGGCGGAGCCTCCACATGTCTGATGATTTGTATTCTGATGCTGTGTTGCTTCAGCTGACCTGCCAAGGAGAGGTAAAGGCAGGCAGCAGCTCCAACCATCCTCTCCTTTGCTCGCCCACCCACCAAATACCTCTCAGTCCCTGAAATACACTCGCTAGCGTGCCGCCCGTGTGCTTCTCTCCAGTGGCGGCAGGTGTGAGGTCACGACAGCAGAGACAGAAAGGGCCTCTCGGTCTTCTGAGATGAGCGAGTGAATCCTAGTTTTCATTCTTAGTGGTGCCCTTTGCTCAAATAGATGGTGCCCAGTGGTTTGTGACGACGACTTTAAGCATAGCTTCAGCAGAAACCGACAGACGGGAGGAGAAGAGGGGCGGTACCTGTGGGGAAGTGTTCATTCACTGGCCAGTTGTCCACCTGCAAGGTGGCGTTACCCCCGTTCCTGGTGAATCGGACCAGATGGTATTTGCCGTCGTTTATCGCCGTGGCCGTTTCCTTCACGCTGATGTCCACTGTCCCAATGTTGAATGTCACACTCGCTTTGCCTTGTTCCTGCGTGAGACACGAAGAAAACACAAGCAGAAGAAGTTAGTGGCGTGACTCCAGGACTGAATGAATCGGAACATCTGAATACCGACGGCACTGAAGCGGCATTTGGAGACGCAGCGGCGTCGACTCCTCTATAACTCTAAGCGGGACAACATTCCTCGTGTCGTTGTGCAGTAACAAGTTATTACACAATAAACTCACTGTAAAGAGGACAATAAAGCCACTTAGATGAATACTCTCAACTGGTCCTAATGGCGAACTACTCCCGGAGAACCGGAGGACGCCGTCGCCACGCTTCATTATACCCCTGTAATGTGATGAAAATAGGCTGCCAGCAGAGATTGTAATGATGAGTAATGCTCCCTGCAGCCTGTCACTGCAGAACTGGCAGCGCAGATGCCTCTTTTCTGCTGCGCTCCTTGCAGACGGTGAATCCCATACGTTTTGTTTAGCTCCTAATGCCAAACCAGGTTTACTGTGTATCATAAATCGCCCACCCCGTCACCTCCCGTTTCCTCTCCCTCCGACCCCATTTTCATGAGCCGCCACCGTGTTTTGCTGCTTGCGTGTCCTGGGGCACGAAGGCGTGACACGCCAAAGGTTCGGCGGCGCAGGCAGGGCTTGGTGAGCGGCGAAGGGGAACGGCTGGTGCATTCTGTGTCATTGGTTAAATCCCCCGTGGGGAATCTCTCCGTGTAATGACCCACTTTAGAAGGCCACAGCAGAGCGGCCGTTTCTCATAAGCAAACCGAAACGAAGCAGACTGACAGCGCGTTGATCAGCTGAGACTGGCCCTCCGTGTCGGACTGTGGCAATGCTGAGATTACAATGTCCGATCTGTATTCACAGGCTTCCAATGCTGTAGAGCACTTAATAAGGACAAGCTATACTTTACTTAGTCACTTATTTTACACTTTCATATTTTGTTCCTTGGCAATACTACGAGTTAGTTCACTCAAACTCTTGAGGCGTTCTTGCTGTGTTCGTAATAAGGAAAAACAAATACATATGAGACTCATAAGCAACACATATCAATCTCTTACATCTGTACTTGATTGGATCACCAGAACAGACAGTTCTCTTATTATTCATTTTAAATGTTTTTGTTTCCTAGCAGGTGAAGGGGGGTATTCTTGTCATAATTTACAGTATTTCATAAAATGACTGTGTGCACAGAACCTGCACTGACTGTGTGCGCGCTAGTATTCAAGTATTCAATGCCTCACTTGTACGTTCAAAACACCCTTTCTCCATTAGCAGAGGGAAATACAGTGTTTCAAATCATGATGCAAGGAACGACAGAGCAGCCCCAACATCTCCAGCTCGACTAATAATGGCAAAAGAACGTTGCCAAAGACACGAGAAAGCCATCTCCTAAAAGCCCTGGTGGGGCTCAGAGTGCAGAATATCTAAATGCGCACTCAACGGCTCTGACAGAAGTTGTAAATGGGCTCTTAATTTAAGTAGCCGTCATTAAAGCAGCAGACGTACGAGCGCAAACAAAAGCGTGTGCACTTTTACGCGCGTCGCCCAGCGAAGGTAAGCGGCCCACAGGAACATGCAGGTGGTTTAATGAGACACGCTGCTGTTCAGTGTGTGTGTGTGTGTGTGTGTGTGTTGCACGACTGCAGCATCGTGGACAAAAGGTCCCGACTAATGACAGGAGCTGCCGCGGTAGGAAACACTGCGCGTGGCGGCCCGGGGCTCGTCCAGGATGCACGGACAGACACGTGGACGGCGACCTTCAGAGGCCGTGGCAGCGCCGGCTCTCCCGCGTGGCGGCGGCATCAAAGCCACCTCAGCGACCCGCTAATATCTACAAACAAAGACAGATCGTCGCCCTCTCGGCCCTGCGGCGAACAAACAGCCAAACACAACAATTGTGCACCTCGACTGCAGAGTGCCTGCGGCCAGTGTGCAGAGCGGGGCCTGTGTGTGCTTTGCAGTGGAACAGCCCCCCCACGCCCCCCCGCCGCCTCCTTTCCTTCTTCTTCTGCTCCTGCTGTCCGGCTACCCGCCCGCCCGTCTGCCAGCGCTGCGCTGCAGCAATCTTTGATTGACAGATCCAATTACGCTTTTTATTGGCCCGTCGCTCGCAAGGCGGGGAGGCACTTCATTGTCTCCTGAGCAAAGGGGGGAAATCGCTATTGTTCTTTGAGTGCAAAAGACGATGGCCGCCGTTCCAGGCTCAAACAAATGATGCAGAGGATCACTTTCAAACCCACACGCCACCAAAGCACATACACAACACACACGCACGCATACTGTACACACAATGCCGCCGAGTGTAACCTTGCGCTACCAAAGCTTTTCAGGAGCATCATATAGTAAAAAATAGAGCCATCCAATAAGTTGCTCAAATGCAAATGGCGTCATTATAGTGGGAAAGGTGGTGATTTACTGCTACTCTTTAACTGCAATCACCAACTGTTTTACTGCTATAGCAATGAGATCATGTTGGTACGTTGTGTTCACACTTTATGTAACTAAGACTGATCAATGTAATTCTAAGCCTCTCCTCATCCTCCGCTGCCGGCCCCCCGGCTCAGCACCAGGCGCTCCTGGCGGTCCCACGTGACACGCCGCACACTGACATCAGTAATCAGGACCGCCACAATCCAATTCTCGGGCTCCAACACGCGCTGCAGCCGAGGCAGCGTGAAAGGAGGGAGAACGACTCGGAGCAACGGTCGGCAAACTCTGCAGAACCTCCCTGGCTGACAGCCGACTGTGTCGCTGTGCAGGGGGCCGGCCGTGCACAATAGCCCCCCTACAAAGCCACAGGCCCCAGACGGACGCAGGCACCTCAAGGCCTTTCTGTGAAGGTGAGATGGGCAGAATTAGCACATTTAGCTCTGCTGGGGAGAAAATGAAGCTGGTAAAAGAGGAAAGGAGGCTGGGCAAGAAATGGAGAAATGGACGTGGTAAGAAGATGTGCGTTGAAAACGCTGGAGCTTTTAGCCCCGCAAACGGTGTTGCATTTCAATCAAGCCTTCGATGGAAATGGGGCCCGGGCAGAGAATAGCTGTGGCGGGATGACTCCAGTGGATCCATATGAAGGCTCAGAAGGGAGGGGCGAAGATCTGATATCAAGGATGTGAACATGAGTTTGGGTTACACATCCACCCTTCCATCTGACATCAGCGCTCAAGTTGCCTTATGTGGTCGGGATCAAAAGTGGAACACAAAGGCAGTGGATGTAGAATCAATAGAGAACGAAGCCGGGACAACGGGAGACGCGGTGGATTGATGCGCCTGGCCTTCGCCGCGGCAAAGCCATTTATCGGCAGTAATTGACAGAGATAACTCAGAGGCGGCGCGGTGATTTGTAGCTGTCCGTTTGTGTGCACATCAGGCTCGGCGCTCACAACTTTGCCAAAGGGAAGGATGTTAGAGGCAGTTTGGCGGAGGGACGTGTGCACGCTGGCATTTAGTCATTACTTCATGTACACAATGTGCTGACGCACTTGACAGACTCATATATTGTCTGGAAATTGTGTAACGCTACTGGTGGATTGGAAAACCCATATTACAGAAAAATGTCTCTCTTTCTCCCCAGAATGAAATCTACAAAGCAAATATTAAAGCATTAAAGGATTCTTTCATTTGTCCTGGTGAAATGTGTCCATAACGTCTGTCAATGTTGTATGTATTCTGTCTTCTCATGAAAAGATTGAAACTACCAATGGATTATTTTAGTGTTTTCATTACATCTAACACCTCTGTGCCATAGAGCTTCGTTAATGTCCAAAGTGTATCCGAGGGCTACAGATGCAATTATATACCATTTAGGTACAGATACTGTGTACCTATGCAGATTATTAAATTGAATAATTCACTCAATATATTAATCTATTATTATTAAAGAATTAGCAAATATTACAATAACTGAGACCAGGAAACCAGCAGTGCAAAGCTGCTCACTCGTTTCTGGGTTTCAGGGCTGCAGCAGAAGAGGAAATAGGAATAAAACTTATTCTGTACCCATATCATCATATCTTGCTGATTTTAAAACCTTTCCATCAAAGTATTCTCATTGAAAGCTTGGAACACACAGTTCTGGAGTAAAGAAGTCACGAGCTCACTAAAGAAGAGGCATTCATTTTTCCATGTGGCTGAATGAAGAAACACGTGATCGTGTTGGAAGCAGAATCACAGGGACATTCATCTCTCAACGTGGGCAGATGAACCAAAACTACGCGTGTCTGGATGTCAATTCAATTCATTTTATTTTATATAGCCCATAATCGCAAATTACAAATTTGCCTCAGAGGGCTTTACAGTCTGTACACATACAACATCCTCTGTCCCGAAACCCACCATCGGCACAGGAAAATCTCCCCAACAAATGAAAAAACCCTTCCAAGGGTCACACGTGGTTTGTTTTAAACACGGTGGACTGAATGAATTACTGTCGCTGGCTGGCTGAGGACGGAATATGAATTCATGAAACTGAGTATTGAAAAAGAAAGAAAGGCACATTTTAATGTCATGAATAAAGCACAAGTTGATGCACACGCAGCTGCTCAGAGCAGTGAAGCATGTGCAGCGTTTCTGACAGACAAGAGCCACAAAAAGCCACTAATTCTACAAAAGAAACATCCTCTGCAGCGGGACTGGAGGAAGCGTTAGAAGCATCGGGGCCTAAACGCACTCCTCAAATAAACATTTCTCTGAAACTGTGAAACTCCATCAATCATTAATTGGCTGAAACGTTCATTGAGACATTCATAATGGGCCGTTGTGGGAGGACACGAGGACTGGTGCCTCTGAAATATTGATTCCCACCTAAAGGAAGCTGGAAGTGGAACACAGGCTGCATTTCACACCTGAGAGAGCCGGGGGGGGGGCTCCGCCGAAGAGGCAGCAACAAAATGGCCGCCACCTCGCTCCACTTCCCGCTGCTGTGGGTAACTGCAGGGGAGACACCACCGAGTCCATGAGCCGGCCGGCCGGTCGGTGCACGGGGGGGAGGGCGGCTAACGTTAGCATTTGAATAGAAA